AGTTATCTAACTTGCAGGAAATTCCATGGCGGCTGCTGCTGCCCAGCACCGCGGACGAGATCGAGATACCAGCACCACCACCACCACCACCACCACCACCACAGCTACGGCTCTTCTTGCTACTACTTCTTCTTCGTCGTCTTCTTCTGCTGCTGCTGCTAAAACTACAGCCATGGCCGCGGCTGCAGCAGACAGGTCCAAGGACAAGGACAGAGGAGACATGGGCGAGGCCGCTTCTTCAGAGACCGCGTCCAGTGCCACCACACCTGCTCCCGCTCCCGCTCCCTACAGCACTCGCTCGCGAAACAGGCCCCGTATCAACTATGCCGAAGACACAGAGCTGGATGCTGAGCTCGAGAAGCCGCTGATGGCCCCAGTCTCTGCTTCTGCGGCGGCCGGTGCTGGGGCTGCTGGCTCTGCTGCTACTTCCAACTCCACGGCCAAGGGCACCCCGGGCCGCAAGCCAAAGGACAGGGACGCCGCGGCCCAGACGACTTCTTCCTCCTCCAGCAACACACGTATCGCCTCGCCGGCGTCCAACAGCGAGAGACCGCCCGGCATGAGCACGCGCAGAGCTGCTGCCGTCGCAGCTAGCAATGGGACTGCCGCAGCCAGAGACAAGAACTCCGAGAGCCATGGCCATGCAGCCTCCGCCAGCGCCGCCAGCACCACAACCACTGCCACGGCCTCTACTTCAGCCATTCCTGGCACATCGACTTTCTCCGCAAACCCAAACACCGTTGTCGTCTCGTCGAAGAAGCGGAAGCAGCCCGGATCCAGCACCACCGTGCAGAATGTCGTCCCGGCCAACGGGGCTGGACACCCCAGCAAGCGCTTCATTGCCGCTGGTTCGCGCAATTCAGAAGAGGCCGTCACCACTTCTATGATGACCTTTCGCTCCTCTCGAGCCATGCTCAGAAACGGCAAGCTAAAGGCAGACGACGGCACCCTTCTCGCCCCAAACGGTACGTCTATTACTCTTTTTTTTTTTTTTTTTTTTTTTTTTTTTCTCGCATTTTATATATATATATATATTATCTTTTCATGCATGTACTAATGCAGACATAGACCACGTATATTTGATATGTGAGCCCCCAGGGGAGCCGTATTACCTCGCGCGGATCATGGAGTTTCTCCCGTCAAAGGACAACCCATCAGGCCCCATTGAGAGTGTTCGCGTAAACTGGTACTACCGGCCGCGTGACATCCAGCGCAAGACTAATGACCTCCGAGTCGTCTTTGCCTCCATGCACTCAGACGCCTGTCCACTCACGTCGCTACGCGGCAAATGTACCATCAAGCACCGCACCGAAATCGCAAACTGGGACCAGTACATGAAGGCAAAGGACTGCTTCTGGTTTGAGCGCATGTACGACCGCTACATCCACCGGTACTATGATGTTATTCCCACCAGCCATGTCATCAACGTGCCCCAGCATGTCAAGCAGGTTCTCGACGAGCGATGGAAGTACGTCTTGGTCGAGATTGGCCGTAGAAAGGAGCTTACCAGTGCCGTCAAGACATGCAAAAAGTGTCAACAATACGCTGCAAAGTAGGTCTTTCTATACATCCTTACATGTTAAAAAAAAAAAAAAAAAAATAAATAAATAAAAAAAGAAAGAAAAAAAGAAAAGGAAGAATATATATTTATCATTTATCATGTATGCTAACGTGTGTAGTAATGATTCGGTGGACTGCGCGGTGTGCCATAACACATACCACATGCTGTGTGTCCGGCCGGTGCTGCAGAAAAAGCCAGCCAGAGGATTCGCTTGGGCGTGTGGCCCGTGCAGCAGAGCCCAGGAAAAGAAGCTTGAGGCCAGGAACACGCCCATGGTGGGCGAGTCTCGCACAAACAACGACACAGAGCCTGAGTTAGTCGAAGAGGAAGAAGAGGAGCAGCCGCCTGCCGATGCAGACACAGCAGCTGCCACCCAGCGGAGTAGCCCGGCAAATGAGCTGCAACAGCAGCAGCAACAACAGCAGCAACAGCAACAACATGTGCTCAAGCCGGCGACAGCAGAGCAGATCTCCCAGGCCAAACTATGGCAGTTTCGCTATCTGGGCATCCATTGCCGCGTGGAGGATGCGCTTGACTACGACGATCGCATTTATCCGCGTGCCAGTTCTCGGTTGGGCAGCCGACATCAGGCCAACGTCGTGCCTTGGTATGGCCACCCGGTCGAGTACTTCAAACCAGCGGAGACAAAGAGGAAGTACGTCCGGTCGGGGCCCAAGAAGGAGGTCAAGCTGTCCAAGGAAGCCCTGGCCGCACAAGAGGCAGACCGTGCCGAGCGGGCGTCGCGCCCAAAGTGGGTACAGGAGGTGCCCCCTGGTTATATCGCCCGTGGCGAGGACGAGCCCATCACAGTGGACGGGAAGAAGTTTCATACTGCCGAACTCCAGTTTAAGATGCCGGATGCTTCGCAGCTGTCGTCCGTCAGGGGTGAAGATGATGCGCCAGGCTCACATCTCTCCGTCGAGGAGAGGGAAAAATTCATCGACGAGTATATGGACAAGGCCAAGGAAGTGGCCACCTCTAAAGGAATCCCGGACTACTCCACAAACTACCTCGACAAGGCCCTGGCACTGCTGTACGAAGAGAACTTTAATGTAGAGCCTGCTCTTGCCCGGCTCAAAGCACTGCATAGATACAACGACCTGAAGGAGCCATACCTCAAACCCGAAGAGGTCAAGCTGTTCGAGGCTGGAGTAGCCAAGTACGGCTCTGAGCTGCGAAGTATCACCAAACATGTCGGCACCGTCAAGCACCGTCACATCGTGCGGTTCTACTACATGTGGAAGAAGACCCCCAAGGGACGTCAGATCTGGGGCAACTATGAGGACAGAAAGGGCAAGAAACTCGCCAAGAAGGCTGACAGTGCTGCAAAGCTGCTAGACGATGTTGCCGATGACTACGACGACTCTGCATTCGACAATGACAAGGCCATGGAGAAACGCAGAGGATTCACCTGTAAATTCTGCAATACCCGTTCTTCTAAGCGCTGGAGACGAGCTCCCGCTGTCCCACCCGGCTTTACCGTGCCGGCCGAACAGTCTGGGAAGCGTGAAAAGGGCAACCGGCTGACCGTCTCCCTCTGTCAGCGTTTGCGCCGTTCTTTGGCGAAAGTATGGAATTCACTGGGAAGATCCTGATGAGATCGCGAAGCGCATCTCCCAGGGTGGGAATAAGTCGTGGCGCCGAAAGTATGATGAGGGATTATTGTCTCAGCTCCTTACCACTCCGAGTCGGATGTGAGGATCAACCAGACCACCGCCACTATAGCAGCCTCGATCGGAGTACATGTTACTACAGAAGTGGTCAAGGAAACCGCAAGCAATCCACCCGAACCCCAACAACAACAAAACCAACATCATCAACATCAGCAGCCAGCCAAGAAGAAGACCAAGACGGCTGATAAGGATGCAAACGCTGCCAACGCCGTCATGGCTGATGCCCCTCCGCCTGCTCCTCCGCCACCCCAACAGCAGCAGCAGCAGCAGCAAACATCATCCAGGAAGAGGGCAGCTGAGAAGGTTGTGCAGGAAGCTCCTCCGCCACTGGCACCGGAACCGCCTCGACCCAAAGTCCTGCCCTGTGCCGTATGCAAAAAGATGGATCCCATGGGCGACCAGCACCTATCCTGCCGAGACTGCCGCCTAACCGTCCACAGGGACTGCTATGGAATCGATGCGTCCCGCCCAGCAGCAAAATGGATATGCGACATGTGCGCCAATGACCGGAACCCGACTGTTTCCACATCATACGAATGCGTTCTCTGTCCCGTCACCGAGACGGAGCACGAACTCATGGAACCGCCCAAAACAACTCACAAGAAAAAATCCGAACGAGAACGTGAAAAGGAGCGCCTGGAGCGCGAGATGGTCAACGAAGCTATCAAGCTCTATCGCCAACGTCAAGAAGCAGCAGGTAAACCAGTGGGACCCCGAGAACCTCTCAAGCGCACCGCAGGTAACAATTGGGTACATGTCATCTGCGCCATATGGTTCCCCGAAATCAAATTCGGCAGTGCCAAAGACCTCGAACCCGCAGAGGGTATCGAGTCGATATCGCAAGAAAGCTTCAAGGACCGTTGCAAGATCTGCAAAACGGAAAATGGCGCTTGTGTCTCGTGTCGGGCTTCAACGTGCAATGCGCGGTTTCATGTTGGATGTGCCCATCAGGCAGGATATAACATGGGATTTGACATCACGCCGGTGAAAAGTAGTAGGAAAGACGTTGTTTCAACTGCGACCATGGGCGAAGAAACGGGTGTTGTTGCACCAGCGATATGGTGTCCGCACCATAATGTGCAGACCATAGTCCATGAAATGGGTGAATCGAAGGGTTCGACGGAAGGGAATGCCCTGCAAATATATGCTAGGACGTTCAAGCAGGCTGATCTTACGCTTACGGGGACAGCAAGGAAGGCGGCATATGTCCAGCACTCCTCGCCATCCGGTGCTGGTAAGCGTGCGGCTGCGGCTGCGATGACGAACGGGGTGGGAACAAGTACAGCGCCGACGGCGAGTCTAGGACAGGGGCAACACCAGCATGATGAAGTTAATGGTACATGGAACGCCGAGCAGAGCAATACCGGACACGGAAAGGACGACATTCCGAAGAAATGCTTCCGATGCCAGTCTGTTGCCAGCCCGAAGTGGTGGCGCCGCGCGCAACCGCATCAACCACCGCATCAACAGCAGCCCGTCAATGGTCTAGGACCACTGGATCTGATCAGATGGCCTACCTCGATGCATCATGCCAATGATACGAATGGCGATATACCCGACCGCATCGTGTACGAGTGTCATAAATGCCATCTCAAGAAACACCTCACCCCACCTACCCTCACGCCTGTGCTTGCACCGCTGCCACCAGTCTCTTATGGTCCGCCTGACCGTGATCGTGAAATGGGCCAAACTCGTCACCCTGAGTTTCATAGGAATGGCTATGCCTCTTCTCCTCACGCTCAGCCTGTTCAAGCGCATGGCCCTGCCCATGTCCCCCCTCTTGCGCCCCTGACGCACCCCCACGGAGCTCCTGAATGGCGACCTGGGCCTGGACCTGCTCCTGGACCTGCTCCTGGTCCTGGTCCTGGTCCAGGGCCAGAATATGAACAGCGACCACCAGCAGAATATTTACATCGTAAAGGAATATCTCCCGCTCCTAATGGTGTGCAGCTTGGTC